AGAGATTTTAGAAGAAATGCCTACCTCAGCCTCACAGATTTTCCAGGCAGATTATTCAGCAATTTAATGTGAATATCCTATCTTTTTTTTTTCCAGCCTAATCTAGCCACTAAGTATAAACTGTTTGGTCAGTTTTGAAAGGAGGGAATTGAGAAAATATCAGAAAAGATGATTTCTTGCCAACTGCACGTCGACAAAACCAACAGGGGAACCTCACGACAGCATTACACTCATACCCCTGGCTTGTCTCCTGACCCTCTCCTGCTTTTGGCTTTTTTGGTTTTTTTCACTCTCCTTTCTTCTGAAGCGCGTGACCTTCTGCCCAGCCTCAAATGACACAGTCTTGGAGCTGGGGCTTGCACCCGTCAGAGCATCATTAAGTTGTCTGCCTATCCTGGCGTCTGGGATTTTTTTGTCTTCTGGAAACTTTCTTGCCACCCCCCCGGGTTCAGCAGGACTCCCTTCCCAGGCAGCAGTGAGCGGGTGCAATCCTTTCCTACCTTGCAAACCCTCTGGCAGCCCCCCTGCTCCTGCTCTGACTGACACCTCTCGCTCTGGGACACACAGCGCGAGCCAAGCCGAGTTGTTTTAACCACATACGCAGGCAAGGCAGTAACAGGAAAAGAACAGAGAACTGAAAAGTAGTGAAGCACACTCCCTTTTCTTCTTCCTTATCCCGTTTGTGTCTCTTCTACTTCTCTGGAGTTTTGCTTGTTTGCTTGCCTGTTCATTTCTGCTGGGAATCGGCGGGGATACAGGGCTGCAGGACCAGGACTCTGGGCACCAGCAAGGGTTTCAGAGTCGCTGTCTTTCATGAGATCCCTTTACAATCGCCTTGGCTGTGGAACCAGCACAGGCTGTTTGCTTTCCCTCCCTCTGTTTGCTTTCATTGGCTGGAACCGGCTTTTTTCCAGTTCCTTCCTTTTCTGGGATGCCAGTTAACACCAGTTAACACCAATAACATTGATGCCTCAGCTTTTTGGCCACAATTGTGAAAACAGATTCTCGCACCTGCTGAGCTGTGGCTTTTCACTATCAGCTGGCTGCTGCTGATGCCGCAAAACATCCCTCATACCAATGCCATGCCAAGCAGCAGATCTCAGGATGAAGTATTTCACATTTACACTTACTGGGAACATTTTTCCCTAAGATGTTGTCACCCTGATACAGTGGTTTTGGCATGGCGTTTAACTTAGGGAGCAGGTTGAAGCCTAGGAAGCTTCCTGGTACCTCTGCAGCACCCGCAGCTCAGCATGGCAAGGGTGCGCTGCCCTCTGGGCAGCCCAAACACAAGTCCCCCGAATAACGATGTCTTCTTTCATTTTTTGTCCGGCCATTATGGTTTGTGCTGTGTACTGGCTGCTTTACCATCCATGAAAGCTAGGTACCTCCTAAGGTTACCACAGGGGGCAAAGTTAAGCCATTGCTGTGTTGCAGCTGGCATAGATACCGTGAAATAAAGGCAGAACTAGGGAGGAAAAATGGGTTATTTGGCCTTTATTTTCAGAAGATTAGTCTGCTGGATTTCTGAGTAAACAAGTAGGTAAACATTTAAAAATCAGTCTAGACTCTGGCTTCTGAGGGGAATGTAGGTAGCACTGAACTCCAGGTTTAAACACAGTTAAAAGAAATCCCACTGTGTAAAATATCTTTTTTTTTTCCTATTAAAAAAAAAGAATGAAATTCACTGTTGTATTCGCTTAACATTCATCACTTAAAATCTGTTCATCACAAGATTTGGGAACTCGATGAAAAGCAGCCTTTTCTTTTTATTACTTACTCCTGGGGGTAGTATGCCTCTTGCTCAGGGGAAGGTGCAGTTCCTGACGAGCTTTTAAGGTCTTCCAAAGTATATGGGTGCCAGCAGCCATACATAATCAATATATTTAGTTGGAGGACTACATTTAGTGTAGAGGGTTTTTGAACAGAAAGGGCTGCAGTTGCATTACATCTCTTACTTCCACCAAAATTAGTAATACCCTATAGCTGATGAGTCCGATTCAGCTCACAGCTGAAGAAGGACACTCTACATGTGTGACGGGAGTGGACACGCCTGCCCAGGGTGCCTTCATAGACGTCTGCAGATTCAGTTTTGGGTGGAACTGGAAGAATGAGGGGACAAAGAAAGGCTGCAAAAGTTCTTCACAAATGCAAGAAGGAGAGATGGATATTTCCAGTCTTACCAATGCTGTGCTGTAAGCTTGTGTCAATAATTTCACTCAGCAGTCCTTATTTCAGAAAAGCAGCCTCCTGTCACCTGGATGGCAAAAGCTAATAGTAAAATTAAGTGGTCAGTTCTTGCATATCTGGTTACTTAAGGATGGGACAGATTTTCTACGTGGAACCTTCTGTAACTCCACATGTACAAACTTAACGGTTGAGAATATCTGAATAACCCCAGTGAAAAAAGAGCATGGGATGAGGGAAGTCCATCATCAGTTCAGGCTGTTCAGGATGCCTCACTTCCCACCGGGCATTCCCCCTTAAAAACATCCACCCTTTCTGCCAGACCTTGCCAAGAACCCGGAGAGCCTCTCACCAATTCTCTGTGAAGCTGAACCTGCCAGTCAGCTGTAGCCTGAACTGAGCTCTCTTTTTCTCTCAGCTCCTCAGCAGGCAGTGGGGTCACTGCCTCGGGGTCAGACATCCCCAAGCAGCAGCTCTGGGCAGGAGGAGTGAACGCCGGAGCATCCTCCAGGGCCACACGTCTGGGAGCACGGCTTTGCTCCCCACTGAGCTGCCGCAGGTGTCTTGGCAGGTCTCTGACTTCTCCAGGACCATTACATACAAAGGCATTTGGGAGGTGGGAACAACTGTATAGCTGTACTAGTTTTGGCTGGGATAGAGTTAATTTTCTTCCTAATAGCTGGTATAGTGTTATGTTTTGGGTTCAGTATGAGAAGAATGTTGATAACACACTGATGTTTTCAGTTGTTGCTAAGTAGTGGTTAGACTAAGTCAAGGATTTTTCAGCTTCTCGTGCCCAGCCAGCAAGAAGGCTGGAGGGGCACAAGAAGTTGGGAGGGGACACAGCCAGGACAGCTGACCCAAACTGGCCAAAGGGGTATTCCACACTATGTGACGTCATGTCCAGTATATAAACTGGGGGGAGTTGGGCGGGGAGGGATCGCTGCTCGGAACTAACTGGGCATCGGTCGGCAAGTGGTAAGCAATTGCATTGTGCATCACTTGTTCTGTATATTCCAATTCTTTTGTTATTATTATTGTTATTATTATTACTTTCTTCCTTGTTGTTCTATTAAGCTGTTCTTATCTCAACCCATGAGTTTTACTTTTTTTCCCCCCAATTCTCTCCCCCATCCCACTGGGTGGGGAAGAAGTGAGCGAGCAGCTGTGTGGTGCTTAGTTGCTGGCTGGGGTTAAACCACAACAGTAGCTATGGAGTCAGCTGAGTTTCCAGAGAGCAGGTGCTTGAGCCGAGCTCTGGGTTATATGAGGTGTGGGCTGTTAGAGGAGGTCAGTTACACACCACATTATAACAGAGGAATCTTGTCACAGCTAAGTTTAATCTTTGAAAAGATTTCCTCTCCTTCCCCAGCCTGAACAGCCTCTCATTTTTTTCCAAAATATCAGAATAATTTCTTTAAAAGTTGACATTACTTTTTGCACATACCCCATGAGGAAAAAACACCTCTCTGGATGTGGCAAGAAATTGTTAACAGCCCTGATAGCATCCTGTACCACCTGACAGGTGGACATTATACATGGAAAATATGTTACACATGAAAGCAGAGCTAGACTGACTCATTTAACTCCCTGGCAAAGGCACTGCCAAAACCAAACTCCCCACTGGAACCGGTGCCCTTGTGGCGACCCTGGCGCTCCAGCTTCTGAAGCTGACAGTGAGACGGCTGTCAGAGAGGGCAGTTACAGTCTTTTGTCAAATATTGTTGTTAAGAAAACACCTATAAAGGGTTTATCATGCCTACTCTACTTCAGGAAAAAATGTTTAGGAATTCTCCTTCCTGGAAACTTTGCAAAAGCTACCAACCTTCCACCTCTGCCTTCTCTCCCACGCTATCTGCAGGCATTAGTGTATTAAAACAAAAACAACCAAGACAAAACAGCAAGTAATGAAAAAGAGCACAAACAAGAAGCCTGCAGCACTGCCAAATTATACAACAGCGATTCCCACTGGGGGTAGCTTGGACAACTTGCCTCACTGAGGCCAGCGGGTCTGCTGACAGCACTTGGAGGCTCCTGCACCGGGACCAGCACCGGGACCAGCACCGGGACCAGGACCAGGACCAGGACCAGGACAGGGCAGGCAGCCCCTGTAGGCAGCTCACCTGCACCTGCTGTAGCTTTCCCCGCCACCGTGCTCCAGCCTCTGGCCACTGCTTCCACCGAAGCCAGTAGGGATGGAGCGATTCCTAGCAGCTCTCAAAATCAAGCCTTCGACTCAATATAACAGAGACAGCCTCAGTTTTCCCACAAATAATTGTCATGGGAGAGAGGGTGGCTTGCCTTTCATTTGCTTGTAAAGTAGCACCTGCACCTATGCCCTGAAAAATCCTGACTCCTACTGTCGCAGACTGCAAAGGGCTGCCATGGGTTTTTTCCTCTCCGCTATTTCTCACCGCAGCTTGCTCACAATTTACAAGAACGGAGCGATGCCGCGTGTGTGTGCTCCGTGCCCTAACTTTAGCTGACGTAGCAAACCCTTGAAATCACCCCCTTTGGCGTGCCTTCTCTGTTAAAAACCTGTGCCTGTGAACACGGGAGAGAGAAGGAAAAGAGACACGGGGAGGAAAGAGACCCGTTAAGCTAGGGGGTAAGGAATGTGCATCGAGCTGCGCGTGGACGTCTGATGTCTCCAACTATTTGCTAAAAGGCAAAAGCAATACTTCCGACAGACGGCCCTCCCCTCGCCTGCAATAGGCTCCCAAGAATAGCAACAGCCTGTGTCACTGCAAAGGGCAAAGCCTTCTGAAATAGCAACAAAGTTGTTCACAAACCACTTTGTGGTTTGCATTTGGTTTCAGCCAGCTTCAGCAACTTGTTGCCATGAGGGAAATAGCCCGCGCTTTCCTGGCGGGCTGGGGAAGGACCGCTGCCCTGTGAAGTGCTCCTGCCCCAAGGTGCAAAAGGGGGTGGCAATGGTACCTGGGCAGAGCACGGAGGACCTCGGCCAGCAGAACCCGACGACGAGAGCCGGGGAGGACGAGGAGAGCAGCCGGGGCAGCCGCCGCCGCCACCTCCGCAAGCTCCCGGCTGCAGCAGGTAAAGCGGCAGGAGCCGAATGCCAGCTGTTAGCCAGCAGCAGCGCGCCCGCGGAGCTAGTGCTCGGGGCTGGGGGAAAACGGCCCCGCAAAGCCAAGGGACTCTCCGGGCACGCTCTCTCAATTGCTAAAAGTGCGAGAGGGGGAAAATGTGAGTAAGGAAGGGGAATGCTGGCTTCAGTTTTGAATGAAGTTTATGCGATACTTTTCCCAAAAGGCCTCGGTCCCGCTGTTCGTGCATGTGCTGTCTGTTGCGTAAATCCCTTTCCTTTACGAAGATCAGTCGCCTGAAAAATCGGAGAACCCGCTGCCGTCTAAGATAACAACGGTGCTCCGGTCCTTGCGTGCTCGGGAGCAATTCAGCCCTTTTCGCTCAAGTGGAGGGAGGCCAGGCAAGCACTGCACCTGCTCCTGCAGGGGGACAGTCCGGGGGGGACGGGGACTCCCTCCTGTCTTTTCTTCCCTAGCATTTCAGGAAGAAACAGGGCTTCTGTGCTGACGCCCTGAAAAATCAACTGTAGATTTTCTTCTGCAAAAGATTTTTGAGTGCTGAAGCTGAGTTCCGTAGTTCTTCACCCTTGCTGTCCATCCCAGCCAGTGTTTCTAAGTTACAGCATGGTTTTGCATATCTTTCCTCGATGATAAGATCAAGGGGAAAATGACCCACAATCATGACATTTCTCACCCACAAGACAGCTGTACCCAAACAGGAAAGCAGGGTAGTAAGCCAGAAATGACTGTGTCCCAAGCAGGTTTTGTTTACTTAAAAATGAATGAACTGACTAACCCGTGAATGTTCAGATACCACAGGCACAAATGCTTTGTTGGAGTGTAATAGTGATCAGTCCAGCAACATCTACTGATACCTGGAAGCAGAGGTTAATCAAGAACAGAAAGCCAATCGGTGTGCAGACATATTTAACATTACCTCAGGGCATGGGGGGACCAATGCAGATGGTTATAAGATAGCGTTATCAAAGGGAAGCACAGCAGTTATAATAAACAGACAGCAAAGTTACTGCAGCACAAGAGCTACGGTTAGAACAGTCCGTGCAAATTACACACTTGGCCTTACCCTCTGAAATTAAAGCAGCAACCTGAGGAATTTACAATTACCTAGCTAGGAATTAAAGGAACTTTTTGATTCTTACTGGAAAATAACAAAACAAAACCCAAATCCCGTTTAATGTAATGAAGGGCCAGGCTGCCTGTTGACATAATGAAAATACATGGCAGAGCACTAAGAGATGGAAAGATGGCCAGGGTGGGTCTGCCCAGGATCTGTGTTCCCTGGCTTTCCATCAGTGCCAGTGGGTTTTTGTTCATGAAATTTTAATATTGCTCACACAATACTTTCATCGGGCTTATGCTGTACAAAGTATACAATGCCTCCCACCATCGCAGGAATTTAGATGTGTGAAGATGTGCGATACATTAGCTTCCTTCTGCCTTTGTTTTTAATTCAATTTACAAAATATTTGTTTTGGGTTTGCCTTTCACACTTGGATCGGAGGAGCCATATTTGTCAAATGATCATGATCCCACACGGCCCTGACACTTTTGGGGTAAACTTGGTATTTTCCGAGGTTTTCCAGCTCTGCTTGCAACATAACTTTGTCCCAAAGCCACCATTTGTTTCATCCCATAGGGTCTTGTTGGGTAACTGTTTTAGATCCCATGCCAGTCTTCTAGATGGGCAGTTAGATCAGATGTATCCTAGCTAATAGGAGAAATGCACCTATTGAGCAGCTACTGGATCTAAAGAAACCTCAGGTGTTAAAATAGATCAACAGGATAACATGGAACTTTTTATACCAGACAACTGGATGAGACAGAGAAAGTGACTGTGACAGTGCAGCAAAGATCATGATGGCATGAAAATGGGATAATCACCTTTTACGGGAAGACAAACCATGATTTAATTATGCAGCAATTTCCAACACATGGCATTAAATATCTATTCTACAAAACCATGTGATCCACACACTATACACTTTAGCAAAATGCTCCTCTAAAGACAATTTGGGGAATTTTAAACACTATTTACCTGTAAAGGCAAACTTTTTGTATGTCAGACAGCACTCAGATGGAGAAGAAATATGTTGTTAAAGATAGCTTAAATTTTTCAGATACAGATGCTGTAGTTTTAAGATTTATCATGGACAAAAGTTGATACCTTGTTCTACTGAAAAAGGGAGATTCCATGCTGTGGATTCATATCTATGCAATGCACTCAACTCGTCATGATTTTCTGACCTATGCTTATTAGCCAAGGGTTGACAGAGCTTGATTTCACCTTCCAAATATCTAAATAGATCAAAGAATCCCCAGGGATTTAAAGAACATATATATGACCTTCCAGGAAAATACTTTCCTTCCCTCCCAGACTGAGACATTTCTCACCTCAGATTAAATCGAAGTCAACAGAAGAAAGCACCATGTTAGTACAGACAGTTGAGCCCCCTCCTATCAAAACAGATGTATTTGCACAGGTTACATAAAGAAGTAATCTCTCCCCCCACTCCGTCCCACTAATTTTCTGTACGCACACTGCATGTTCTCTTGGGAGAAAGAAAAACTACGTCACAGAAATCTCAGTGTCTGGACTCATGTGGAGCATGGTACTCACGAGATGAGCTGGAAAGGGCTCCCAGGCACCTTTCCCGTAGCTCTCCTGCATGTGAAGTGGGCAAAGAGTGGTGTTTCCCAGCTCAGCCTGCTTGCAGATCTTCCCTGGCACAGATCATTTATCCATAATGCCCATAAATTATCCATAATGCCCACACAGAACAAATATTTTGCCTTTGGAAGGACTGTATTTTCCCAAATATGTGCTTGAAAATAAGTAAAGGGGCACGAGCCTACTACTTGGCCCCATCCAATCTCATCAACAGTACACTGCTATACTACGACTACACTTGGTCTCCTTCTCAGGAACCAAGCATAAACATTTCCAGCAAATGTTCTTAAAGATAAGTTTGTTTGCCAAGTAGTTCTGCTTTTGACCTGAGTAACAGTTGTGAGAAATAATTTTGTTTACGTGGGGAAACTAGAGAATAGACTTTCCAGTCACTTGTTACACACCAGCCACACACTCATTAGCCATGGTGTTTGTTGCAGACAGAAGGAGAAATTTCTCTGGAAGCCATCATTAACATATTTTATTCCCCTGGGCTGCACACTGCCATGTATTTTGCAGACATCTCATAAAAATAAGAGGAATATACATTTTAAGAAGCTTTTTTTTAAAAAAAGGAATGCCTAAGAACTGCCAACAACATCATTAGAAGTGACACTTAAAAGGATTGTGAGTACAACTACTGCAACATGCTTTATCTGGAAATGTTAAAGCAAAACATATGCTGAAGTCAGAGGGAATTTTGTCTGGAGGAAGACCATGAAGGAAAACCAAGAAGAGATTTCAGGGTTTAACTCAGCAGGCAGTTCTGAGCAGGCAAGTCTTAGGTACAGCAGTTACAACAAAACCCCGTAGTGATATAAGGATGTTTCTCAGCAGAATGGTGCCTGTGAGGCACAAGAGATATGGAGTTAACTGCCGAGTTTGCTGCTGCTAATGCAGAAAGGCAATGTGTCTCCCTTTGCATTGCATCAGAATCTGCTTTTCATTCAGGGGTCTTCTTTAGTTACAGCCCTCTGCTATTTCTATACGACTGTGGGCGTTTGTCATTGGATGTATGAACAAGGATACCAGTTGACCCAGTAAAAACGAACCAAAGAAACATTAGACATTGTTTGAGCTGCTGTACTGGGAGAAGCAAGAAATATATGGGCTTGAGTGCTTCCCTAGCAACTTCCCAGGTGTCCAAGCTCCACACCCTGCTTGTACAGCCTCTCGGATTATAAGTAAATAATCACTTCGGTTGCTCTGATCTGAGGACCACAGGCTGAGGAGAGCACAGCCTGGATTGTAAAGAACAGTGCTGATGGTGGACTCCATCAAGATATTTGACTTGGCACTGTCATTTTGAATCAGAAACTGGAACCACACAAAACTGACAGTTGCACATTTAAAGAATTAAATCTGTGCAGGACACAGACCTCAAATTATTAATAGGAGACACTGCCCACACTGCTGTGTTTCTGTTGGAGAGCCTTAAACTCAGTTTTTGTCCCTCTGTTACTTAATGTTTTTTCTCAGTTGCCTGCAAGAAGATAATAATGGATTATTTGTGGGTGATAAAGGTGACAGTTGATTAATAAATAGGATATGTCACTGGCTGAATGCAATTCGGATGGCTTGGCCTGCTGACTGCGAGTGAATGTGCTGTCTGGGGTTCCTCTATGCTAACTTTAGACATCTGCATCTGAGCAAGCCATACAGATTCCTTTTATAGGCAGTGGAGAGAAATAGGCATCTGACCTACTTCAGACATCTAGAAGTGCCTATTTTTCACAAGTGGTTACAGAAGAAATCTAGAGATGCTGTAGATCTCTCACAGTTAGGTAAGTTGAACCCATCCTAGGTGTTTTAATACAGACAAACATAAAGTGATTTGCATTCCTAGCTGGGATGCAAGAAGGCAGGCCATATTTAAAGGAAAGGCAATGCCTTGGAAAGAACCCAGTCAGAAAAGAAGTTGGTTGTCCTGGAGGATGACCAGCAGAAGATGAGCTCCTGTACACAGCTGTGACAATCCTTAGATGAGTAGAGGGGGAAATGTCTACCAGGAGCGGGACAATTATATCAAGTTCCTATCTGGCACTGTGCAACCGCTGCAGGAGCACCAGGTCCGGCTCTCAATTTGTTGAAGAAGTTGATAATCTGGACAGAGTTCAGAAAACAGGGCTTTGAATACTTAAGGGACTGGTAAACTTGTAAAGCCTCACAGGCTAAGTAGCTTATCAAGGAGACGTCTGCGGGATGACTCGATGAGAGGCAATAATTTTGTACTTAGTGAACATAACTAAGTGCAGGCAAATGGAGAATGGGATCTGATGGCTGGAAGCTGAAGTTGCAGAAATTAAGTCTAGCAATAATTTACAGATAATTTACAGTGAAAACAATTAACCATCGGGACAACTTATGACTTAAAGTAATTGGCTTTCAACCACTAGCAATTTTTAAATCAAAGCTGAATATTTTAAATGGCGTAGTTCAAGTAAAATGTCATTTAAACGTGTCTGAAGGATTATGCTGTGCTGTTCGTGAGTGTCAGACCGGATGACCACAACAGTCTCTTCTGGGATCATAATATATAAATTAAAGCAAAATCTTAGGTTCAGTCTACATGGCTCAATGACGTAAAACCCAAAGATATCCAAGAAAGCAGAAATATCAGCACTGAGGAGTAGTTTGGGCAGAGCACTGTGATCAAATTAGCAGTGTATCTTATGATACCCAAGCTCATTCATTAAGCACAACACTGTGTTGTTACCAGCCCTGATTTCCAGCCAGGAATCATTACTAGATTTTCCAGATCTAGTAATATACAGCAACCAGGCTAGTAAAACATATAAAGGGGAGGGAGAAATTAGGTTTTGCAATGATAAAATGTATATTACATGCATGCATTGGAGGATGGAGCACATGTAGCACCAGGCAGCTTAACCAGAGTCAGTAGTCCTTCCACTGAAGTGCTGTTCAGTGTGTTAAAGTACAGCAGGACCTTGCCCTAACCCGTGCACTAACCTCTGTTTAAAATAAGTGCAATGATCTCAGATACTGCAGACGTAAAGGAAGAAAAATCGTTAGACATAATACAGACATGGACAACAACAATATATTAAAAAAAAAAGTTACATCCCCAGAGCATTTTGCAAATTTGTATCTGACATCTTCTTCAAGCTGTCCCACCTCCATCACAATATATCTACCATCTACCCCTACCTTCTGGAAGACTTCTCCCAGTACTTCTATTTCCCCCGTGCCCTTATGGCCCATCGTAACAAGCCCATGTGTTTTTCGGCAGTCTCTCCCCTCTCTCTGGTTTGCCAGCCACCCGAGCCCAGCAGAAAGGGCTGAGGTGCGCTGAGTGCGCCCAATAGCTCGGGGCTGCTGCCGCTTGGCCTTTGCTTGGCTTTAAGGGAGCGAACTGAGAGCCAGGTAGGAGACCTAATAGGCGATACTTATCTTAATAGACTTAATGGGCTTATACGTCTCCCCTGGCCCAGGAGGCACAGCTTATATTCCCACCGTTGTACTCCGCTACCCTCCAGAATAACCTGGCCTCGGGTGGCGTGTGGCCGCAGGGTGTAGTGGTGGGAATTGTTCGAGAGGCGAGGTGGCCTGGGGCACAACCGTGCCAGCCACCGTGCCAGCAATTTAGTGGGATACGTGGCCACATGCCAGGGTCCGGGCCTGCACTCTGGCACTGTTTATTTTAGTAGTGCAGAAGTACTGCTAGGGCTGCCCTCCTCCTCTCTTTTCACAATCTGCTTGAGAAATGTAATATCCTCTGTCAAATGGGACTGATCCTTGCCAATGTGCTCAAAAGTTATTGGCAAGGAACTCCAAGCAGTCAGTATGATCAAAGAGCCTTAATGCCTTACAAAAATAAGCTAAAAATAAACAAAGTCTATGTATCATTTTCAATTAGGCCATATACTACTTTCCAGCTGGAAAGTACTTGTTCCAGGAGAATTAACTGAAATACGGACTCTGTTATGCTGCAGAAGCTACCTCTCCTCAGACACGTCCTATCTCTCCAACTAACCGGAAAATCAGAAGTCAATTTACTCTTTCCCTAGTTGTGTGGCAGCCAACATCATGATGAGAGGAAAATCATGCTGGGAGAAAGAACACGACCAACAATAACAAACTGATATATTCCTCAAGGTTTAGGGTGCAAAAGGCTTCACAGTTAGTAGAATGCGATCAGTCGACTCTATCTTGTAACAATAAACAATGAATTGCAGTTGTATAAAATGAGTTTGTTTTAAAGTGGACATTCAAAGACATATAATCTCCATTTGGTTTATGTTTTCACCAGCTGTTTTTTATTCCTGACATTGTGGCTGTTATAAACTATGCGAAATATTTGATCCCGATATTCTGAAGAATCTGAGATTAGTGATGAGCAAAGCCCAGAAAGTTCATGAATTTGTACCTCAAAGACTGTTTTCTCTAGAATATCCCAGCTATCTGGATCAGCCTGGTCCTCAGTGGATAAGTTTCCATTTGGCAAAAAAACCCTCACGTGTACCAGCAGCCTTCATGGCATCCTCAGGTGAAGCAAAGGAATTAGTAAGCGGCAAGGGAAAGCTTAACTTGCTACTTATTCAAGTCAAGGTTGAAGCAATTTGGTTGGGAAATTACTGCTTTCCTTGCCCGTGGTACACTAGTTAGGTGGTCAAGACTTCAGTACAGGAAAAACATTGAGAACATCTCAAGGCAAAAATTGCTTTCTTAACAAAAGGTTGTATTGTCAGTGTTGCCTTTTGCAATGATATTCTGAGGCAGAAGGTTTAATTATTTAGGGCCTGATCAAAATGTTTCTGATTTCTGTTCAGGAAGATAAGGAACCCAAAAGCATTAAAATTAAAGAGGGTTTTATATGAATTAAAACAATTTTTTTTTCTTTTCAAAAATAGCCTTTTATGTCACCACTGCTGCTGGGTTTGTATGCACCTAACTGCTTTTCCTAAAAGTTACAAAAAGATTTTTTGGACTGGTATATCAAACAAAGTTATTATTAGTTGTGAGAATGTCGCAGAAGTCACACTTTCAAGTTTTTGTGTTTTTTTCTCTTATTTCAGGCTGTGGAACATTTACTTTTTTATCTTCTGCCGTTGCTGCCATAAGTGGACTTCTGATGGGTTATGAGTTGGGCCTTATCTCTGGAGCTCTTCTTCAGATGAGCAGCATATTAGCACTCTCTTGCAAAGAGCAGGAAATCGTTGTAAGTTCCCTGCTTTTTGGGGCCTTATTTGCATCCCTTATTGGTGGATTCCTGATAGACCGATTTGGAAGGAGACTTGCTATTATTATTGCATCTTCTTTACTTGTGTTGGGGAGTCTGATTTTACTGCCTTATGAATCGTATGGGATATTTATTGTGGGACGGATTGCCATAGGTATTTCCATATCATTATCATCAATTGCAACATGTGTGTATATTGCTGAGATCGCCCCACAGCACAGAAGAGGCCTCCTTGTATCATTGAATGAACTCATGATTGTGATAGGCATTCTTTTTGCCTATATTTCAAATTATGCCTTTGCCCGCGTATCTCATGGCTGGAAGTATATGTTCGGCCTCGTGATTCCACTAGGTGCTTTGCAGGCTATTGCCATGTATTTCCTTCCTCCAAGTCCTCGGTTTCTTGTCATGAAAAATAACGATGAAGCTGCAAGAAAAGTACTGGAGAGGCTACGGGAAACATCAGATGCTACTAAAGAACTTACTGTGATAAAGTCTTCCCTGAAAGATGAACATCAGTATAGTTTCTTGGACCTGTTCCGTTCAAGAAACAACATGAGGGCCCGAATGTTGGTAGGACTCACTTTAGTCTTTTTTGTGCAAACAACTGGGCAACCAAACATTTTATTTTATGCATCAACTGTTTTGAAGTCAGTTGGGTTCCAGAGCAATGAAGCTGCCAGCTTGGCTTCTACTGGAGTTGGAGTGGTTAAAGTGGTCAGCACAGTCCCAGCCACGGTTTTTGTGGATCAAGTTGGAAGTAAAACTTTTCTGTGTATTGGCTCTTCTGTTATGGCAGTATCGTTGGTCACGATGGGCTTAGTGAACCGTAACATATATGTGAATTTCACCAATGTTTGTAGAAGCCAATCTCCAGAGGATTTCCTTCTCCAGAGACCGGGAAATCTCACTGGTGTCACCAATGGGAGTCTCAAGGACCTCTTTGCTAGCATGGCTTCACCAGAAAGATTGTCATTTGATGCGCAGAGAAGCCCAGACGTTGCCAGGATGGGAGAACTGAACAGGACTGCCCTGGCAGGAGGCAAAAGCACAACAGGGTCTCACATGGAAAGTGGGGAGGTTCCCGTTGTCCTGAAATGGCTCTCACTGGCCAGCCTGCTTGTTTATGTTGCTGCATTTTCCATAGGTCTTGGACCAAGTAAGTGTTTAATTTTTCTAACTCTTTGTAATGGTTTACTTACAAGTAGATTAAGTGCTGGGATGACATGCCCAGCTTGGCATCAGGCAGTTCCCAAGGTGGGCAAAGCAGTGTTTTCTGCTAATATGCACTGGTATTGTCACAGACCCTCCTGGTGGGCCTGGGGTGTGCTTTTTAGGAAGAGGTCCTGCCCATTAAGGTCAATGGCCTAATCTCTCTTCAATTCAGTGGAATTAACTGCTTCTCTTCAGTGGAGTTAAGAGCTGCTGTGAGCTTTTCTACAGCAAAATTATGGGACCCCTGACTATCTTTCCTCTTCCTAGTGTATTGTGTCCTTACATTGGGAAGTTAAGATGTAGGCATTTGCTGCTGCTGACTCATAAACCCAGGATAATCATAAGCCCGAGACCTCTGTATGGTATGACACCATCAAATCCATGAAATGCCACATGCCTGAGTCCTGCAGAGTGTGTGGCCCCCTGACTATATAATAGTCTTCAGATATCGGAAAGACATTCAAGGTATTATAGTTCATGAGCAAACTGTAGTATCATCACCACCACCCGTGCTGAACAGCACCAGTGGAAGAACACACAGGCGTGTCACTATACAACCGAGGTCCTGCTGCAGCTGCCATCACACTTGCATGGTTCCTGCTCTCTCCAGAGGAGAACATGTTTGCCATTCCCAGGGACTAGCAATTAAATCTCTCCATTTTGTTTTCTTTTGTTTTGTTTCAATAGCACTTGCATATTATTGTACTTTGAAGGGATTGATTTTTTTTAGCCACACTGCAAAACCCACATGCACAGAGTCCATTATTTATTAACAGACTTTATGTGCTTTTGTGCCCTGGCTCAAACTTGCCTTGCAAACACACTGTACTACTGCTGCACTATTACGATAAAGAGCTTGCCACAAGAATACAACCCAACAATTGCACTAACAGCAACTCTCCTGCAGTATTTATTTAATTTAAACATTACTCACTGGTTGAGCAGCGTGAGATAAGCATTCATTGCCAGGGCAGCAACCTTGACTGTGTTATTGCAGCATTATTCCCTCCCTTGCAGATCATCTTGGGGCTGGATTCTGCTGTTGATGAGATAGGTTCAAAACCAGGGGTGCAGCCCTGAAAAGAAAATGTAACTTGAGCTTTACTTGGGTGTTTCAAACCCACATTTAATGACCCTCAAGGCAGGGGCACGTGTTCAGGCTTGGCCTCCTGTTGAAAGCTTCTTTCCTCTTGACCTGGTTGTAAATGGGTTCCTAGTCATCTAATTTGGCCTAATGTGAAATTAATGACAACGACATCTACTTCCTTGAGGGCCACAGAAACTGAGGTGTGTTTCCCAGGCTAATCTGAGAAGTCTTTGAGGCCCATGCTTGTTTTCTGACCTCTTTTTTGACAAGAGCACAAATGCTCTCAAACAGCAAATGGGAAAGAACAGGTACCGTCTCAGCTCCAACATGTTGAAATCATGCATGATAAAGACACGGTAAGGCAATTTAAACTGGTGGGTGTGTTTGTGTAGCAAGTGAAGGCCAGGTCTAGGAGAGATACAGGTATTTCAAACTGCAGGTAATACTTTCAAGACATTTCCATGCCTTTAAAAGTACACTATTCAGTTAAAATTGACAATGTATAGAAAATGCAAGAGTCAGAGAGAATCAAGAGGTTGTTGGAATCTGCAAAAGATCTATTGTGGTTAAATAGTCTGGGTTGGGACATGAGGCTATGATTTGTGTCTTATATGCAGCCTTCAACGTCTGCTGCTTAGAGTCCTAATTCTTGAATGCGTTTTAAAATCCTAGCTTTCTTATCCTCAATATGCCTTTCTGAGTGTAAAGAAAAAACCTGAGCCCCTCTGCTTACATAAAGTAAGCAGTTTTAACATGTTTATGTTATTCATCTCTAAATCTGGTCTGTGGTCTGGACCAGACCATTAGTCATTGTCAACTCTGCAACGGGAGGGAGGCATCGAGGCTGGACTCGCTGGCTGCTGTGGCCAAGCGATGCCTGGGCTCCTGGGGACAGAAGCACTGTAACCCCCACACCATTATATTTTCAATGCAAAAATCTCATACTCCGCGCAACGTCTGCCTGTCCTGCTGGCTAAGGTGAAGGCGGTGCTGGGGATGTGTCTGTTCGTAACCTAGAGATCAAATCAGCCTCTTTTGGACAAAGAGCAGAGAGGATCTTGCTCTTTTCCCTCCACCCCACAAGGCCACTTCTGGAACAAACTCACCCACTTTATTTTGAGTCCATGCTGCATTATGTTCTGTGGGGGTAAAGGAGACTCTATGTAGTGCCATTAGGAAAATGTCACACTCTTCATAGGGCAGATCATGCAACCTGAGCTCTATCATCTTTTTTTAAAGTACTTTGGCCTTTTTTTTTTTTCTCTTTCTTTTTTGGGATTCTGGTCAAAGAGCTAGTTACAGTCCAGATTTGCATATAAATGTTGTATTTTTCCAGGATTTCTCTTTTGTCTCCAAATTACATGAAGTAGATGGATTTTTTAATGAACTAAACATATGCTAAATATATTTATTGCCATTTATCAAAGCACCCAGGCAGCACAGTGATGAGCACTCAAAAATAGACATTGAGAGATAAAAGCCATTTTTGCATTATAAAAGAATTCACAGAGTAGCAAGCATCTGCTTAGTCACTTTTTTGATTCTGGGGTGCTCTGTATTTATATCATCAACCCTTAGGCAAGATAAAAGGAGTATTTCTGCTGCTCTGTTTTGGATTAATTATGTTTGATGAACTGCGATTCAACTGCTTGTTCACACTCAATTTCACACAATTACGAGGATGTTTGGTAGGTGCAACAAATCAGTGTTGCATCACATCGCAGAACAGCACATGCTGTCTCTTCAGGAGTGTTTGCAGAGGTGTTTCAAGGCAGTTATTAGCTAAGGGGACTTGACACCCAGCTTTGTCTTGAGTTACCTTTGTCTGTGTATGAGAAAGGTCAAATGAGGATCAACTGTTCTCACCAGGGAAAGATGCCTGCAGAGCCCAAGAGAAACCTCTCTCTGTCTGCCACATGAAGGGTGAGGAGTGCGAGAGGGGCTCTTCATTGTTTGCAAGGAGAGGCATTTGAACCTCCTGTATGTGGAGGGCGGGACAGGAGACATGTGAGCCTTGCAGAAGTGCTGCTATGCCTTGCACAGGGAGCAGTGAGTGCAGGCTAATGTGTGGAGGTAGATTACCAATTCATCACCCAAGCTAAAAGCTCACTGTGACCCTGGAAATTAATTTCACAGAAAGGACACACAGAGAAATTCTAGTCAGGGCCATGACCATGCATGACCACTTACTAAATGACACAGTGTTAACTGAAATAGTTGCAGAGCATCTCATTTGCCAGATGCTCTGTTCAAACCACTTGAAGGGCAAAAAATTGTGGTCCTTTCTTATAAAGAGGTGTCAGCTCTTTCACTCATCACTGTTGTGCAGTACAACATGTTGAGATGCAGGAAGCAGGAGAGCCAAACTCCTGCAGTATCAGACTTATTTTCCAAAATAAGGCTGTGAATGTGGGACTCTTGGGGTTGGATGGAGCATGTGCAAGAGAGTTCTCTTGGTTAACAACTGTAGGGCAGCTCTAGCCTTTCTGAAACAGAGTAGGTGCCCACAGTCCTTCTTCTTTCCTCACAGACCTGAGGAAAAAATTCAGATTCAGGAGTCAGATGGCACCCATTACCAAAGATCTGCTTCTCTGCCCTGATATCTCCTTTGGCACCATTTAGGATCAAAGACTAAATAGGGACAACTTCCCTCCATATTTTCCCATATATGCCCTGAGTGAGGAGGTCTCACTGGGTGATCTCACCAATAAGTAGCCAAAAGAGAGGCAGTAGCACCATAGACAATAATACAGGGATGCAGCGTGGTCTAGAGGCAATCCTCTTTACTGAATAAAAATCAGAGGGGCTCCAACAAGTTCTGGGCTGAGCAGCAAGTAATGCAAACTCAGTCTGGAGCCAACAGAGCATCCGTTTTCCTAGTCTAAATTTGTTCTAGCAAATAAAAGGCGAGTGAGCAAAGCAGGACTGGGGCAGTACCTCTTTACACATACTGTGGGAATGCAGTTCAAGGGGATCCACGCACATCTCAGGGATTTTTTTGCTGTGGAGTGGGAACACTTGTTGAGAGGGGCATGTCAAATGTGTGCCTTTGGACTGCATGTGTGGCATGGGTGCCTTGCACAAAAAAGCTCTTCCTCCTCTGTCAGTCCTTTAAACACACTTCTGTATAACTGCAAAGGTGGTTAGGCAGTTGGCCAATGAACTTTGGGATAATCTGCTGGTGCAAATCACATCAGCTCCGCTGGTGTCACATGGCAGTTCATGCTGAGCGTGCGGATGCAAATCAACAAAAGCTCCTGTAAGTGGGACTGAGGTGCAGTTTCCTGACTTGAATCATCCTCAAAACCATTTAGATGCATAAAGTCCAAAGGTATTTATGTCTCTGCCAACCTGGGACTGAAGATGTTCTATTACTGCATGTCCTAGAGCAGCTGCCAGCTTTGTGCAGCTCTCCAAAGCCAAAGGCCAAACTCTCAGAGCTTTTTTCTTGGAGGCCATCACAGGCTCCTCTTCCAGGGGAATTCTCAGAGCTGCAGGGATGCCCTGGCCCCAAGCACTCAGAGCCTGCTTTGCACACACTGTGGCCACAACACACCAGAGGCAGATCAGTGTCTGCAGCTGGAGAAATCTCTTCTGGGTTTCAGGGCTTGGCACAAAACATAGTACTTATACCCATCCACATAGATATAAAATCTAAAAAATATTTTTAACATATTTGTGGTAGACAAATAAGTGCATAACAAGGTCTTGGAGGAGGGATTTAGAACTTACTGCAAACCCTGCTTTTCCACATAGCTGTTACAGTCCCATTGAAGCACAGCTCCTGTGAGTGGGTGCTTGTAGGACTGGCAGTACTTTGGTATTGATTAAAAATTGTTAAATAGTGGAATTAAATA